TCGTGGAGGTGGTGGCAAAAAGTCCGACGCGACGCGTCCACCCGACTGCGACGGCTTGACGGCTGTCGTGCTGCCAGCACGACAGCCGTCAAGCTCTTGCCGCCGTACCGGTCGGCTGGAGACGCGCGCGCGCGACTCCCAGGGCAGTCTTTGGCATGGCCTCGCCTGCCTGCGCACCCGTGCGTGCATGTCGCGCGCAAACATGGTCCTGCGCGTTGGCGCTGCCCACCATTGCGCCATTGCGCGCATGTGGACACGACCGTCGGTGACCACAGCAGCGTGTGCGTCTTGTGATGTACATGTATTTTAGCTCTAAAACTCGCCCGGCGAACACCGACTGCGAGAGAGGGATCGCACGCGCGCGGCGCGCCAGCAGCAGCCCGGGGGGAGGGCGCGCTCTCTCTCTGCCTCTGCGCAGAGCTCTGGGCAAGTGCGTGTGAGGCGCGCAGAGCGCGCGTCCGTTGCACGGTCCGACTAGGGCACCAATCGGCGCCGAACGCGCGCGCCAGAGCGGGTTGGGGTCGCTCGGTACATGCCCTGGCGCGTGCCAGGACGGCTGCCGAGGGCCTGCGGCAGGGGGCGAGAACGAGTGGAAACCACCAGAAACCACCGCGAGACCGGGCGGGATCTGCTCTGGGGTGACAGGGGATGGTTGGGTATGCGTGGCTACGGGTACTATTTGGTACTACTGGAGATCTGGGACCCTTCTCGGGCCCTCTCGAGCTCTGGCGCAGCGCTGTGCTGCAGGCTGTGCGAGTGGTGTGACGGCGCGCCTCTCGGTGGTTGGGCGTAGGTCGTGCCGTTGGAGGCCCGGAGCCGCGGCGGCGAGTCGCGCATATTCGTCGCCGGCGCGCGCGCCGGCTGTGAACAAACGTAGTCGAGAGGGGGACGCACGCACGCGCCCCTTGAACGAGGCTCGGCCGTCCCACAGACTTGACGAGGCGAGACTCGCCTCTCGGGTTGACTCGGCCAGACAAAAACCCGGAGAGGCGTGGGAGTACCTCGCCAGGTCTGGTCCCAGCTCCGCTGAGGGCCCTGAACATGTATATGGGTCCTCTCTCCGCCCGCTCCGCCCTCTTTGCCTACTGGCGCGGGCTCGCGATCTGCGCCGCGGGCGGCAAGTACTCGCGCCTCTGCTCGGCGCTGCCGCACCTTACGCCGCAGGAGCGCGGATCCGCGGCGAGCGTGCGAAAAGCGAAAAGCGCAGTCGCAAGCTGTGTCCTCCACGCTCACAGCCAGAGAGAGCACCTCGCTCGGCCAGCATATGCCTCGCACCCCGCTCACCGGCTGCTCTTCCGCTCGGCAGGAGCGGCTCTGCATCTACAGCCTCGCGCTGCACCTCCGCCTCTTTGGCGACGGCCACTACCGCAGCGGCACCTTCCAAAACGATCTGGCTAAGAACCTGCGCAACGTCGCCCTCCCCGCCACCGGCGTGCCCCTCTCCGTCTTTTGCAGCTGCCGCCCGCTCGCCCTCCTCTTCGCGTGGCTCCTCCTCCCGCTCGCGGCGCTGGTGGCGGCCGTCCGCCGCCCCTCGAGCGGCGGCGGCTCGCTCGGCGGAGCCTTCGCCTCGAGCCTTCTCTCGGACTGGTCGTGGTTCCACTACTGGCGCCTGAACTGCGTGCTCGCCTCGTACCACGCGCTCGCCACCTCGGACCCGGGCTACGGCCTCGAGGACTCCCTCCTCTCCCTCGCCCGCGCGTGTGGCGAACCTTCCCGGAACCTTCCCAGAGCCTTGCCGGAGCCCTCCCCGTAGGACAAGCAGCTGTTTCTCGCGGCGTGCGAGCGGCAGGGCGTCGCCGCCTCGCCCTCCCTCTCGGACCGGGCGATTGTCGTCAAGCACCGCAACGAGGAGGGCGGCCTCGGCCTCCACACCTTCCGCAACGCGGTGCGGCGGCTACACCTCGGCAAGCCCCCGACAGCAGCTCTCCCCAGCCCTCGCGCCGGTGCACCAGGCGCACGGAGGAGACTGGATCCTGCAGCCCGCCCTCTCGAACGCCCCCTCGATCGCCAAGCTGCTCCCGCCCGTCGCGCCCCTCTCGACCCTCCGCCTCGTCACCGCCTCCCGGGCGAGCCTGCACCAGCGGCCTGCCGAGGCCTCCTCCCTCGACGAGGGCGGCGTCGAGGTGCTGTCCGCCTGCTTCCGCGCGGGGCGAGCAGGCGCCTCGACCGACCACTCATGCGTCATGTTCGACGTGGACGTCGCGACGGGCGACATCCGGCGCGGCACGACCAGCGCGCACTGGTACCAGCTCGGCTTGGCTCGCGCTCGCCGCTGCCCGCTCTTCTCAGAGGGGCACACTGTCGAGGTGCACCCGGACTGCGGTGCGCCGGTGTGCGGCGAGGTGATCCCGGACATGGCCTCGATCGCCTCGCTGGTCCGCGAGGCGCACCGCAAGCTGATGCCCGGCGTGCCGCTGGTGGGGTGGGACGTCGCTATCACCGCCGAGGCGGGCGTCTGCCTGCTCGAGGCGAACCTCTCCTGCAACTTCTTCCGCGCCTCCTTCGACGAGCGCGTCTACTTTGCCTTTGCCGAGGCGCTGCTCGGCCGGCTGGAGGGCAAGGCCGGCAGGTGCTAGCTCGCGAGAGGGGCCCGGGCCACACGGCCCTTGCCCTCCGCAGGGCGGCTCGCTACGCAGTATCGCAGTTCAGTACCACACTGAGAAGTGAGATATGAGGCCCCATATGACTGCCCAAAAGTACGGTACACACCTCCACGATAGCATGTGGAGAGTGGCGGTCGTGACGACATACACATGCACCATGTGAAATTTTATGATTTTGTTATTTAGAATTTACGTATTACGACAATCGACAAATTTTATGTTTGCTCTTGACACTTCTTGGAGCGGCTCTGCGGCTGCACACTGCTCGGCACCCCCCCTGCACATCTAAAGCCATCCCTGCTGCTAGGGGGGCGCGGGGGTCTGACCCCCCCAGCAGCAGAGCGCTGCTGCTGGGGGGTGGGTCCCGACCCCCCCAGCAGCAGAGCGCACGGACCCAAGATGACCCAGCTCTCCCGCGCCTCTTCGCCGCCGCCCCCCCTCCACCCTCGGCTCGTGTTTGAGCGTACGCTCGAGGCGGTTGTGTTCATCGCGCCTTCGAGCCCGGTTGGCAGTAGGAGGGCCCGCCGGTGAGACCACTGATTTTGGTGCCGACCATAAATTCTCGCCACTGGAACACATGCTACTTACAGCTGCTGTCTGAGTGTACAGAGATGCCAGCACCCCCCACAGGCAGAGCGCTCCTGCTGGGGGGGGGGTCCGGACCCCCCCAGCAGCAGAGCGCTGCTGGGGGGGGGGGGGGGGCCCCACCCCCCCAGCAACAAAACGCTTCTGCTGGGGGGGGGGGGGGCCGCCCTGGCTTTTAATGTGCAGGGGGGGTACCCAACAATGTGCGGCCCCTCTTTAGTTTTTCCCCCGGGGGGGGGACCCCCCCAAATTTACCAAAGAAATGGGCCTCCCAAAAGCCCAAAATCTAGGAAGGGTTTTTCCTTTTAAGAAACCCGCCCACTGTCTCCCCTATGAATGGGTTCTTCCAAAAAAAAAAAGGGGAACCCCCTCTTTTTTTATAACGCGGGGCATCTCAAAAAATGGAGTCCTCTTTAAAAGCACAAATGTGCCCAGAAGAAACCCC